GTCGATTCTGCACTTGTTTGGGAGATCATCGGGGACGAAAATGAATCTGTTCAAGAGTACCCGTTGACTCTAAACAAACTTTCAACTGTCACCATCCGTTCCTGTGGGACATACCTTCACGACCGCACACCTGAGATATGGCTCTCTTCACCCCCATTCGAAAGGTTTTTCCTACGGCACAAGGCGATCAAACATCTGGGCTGGAATGGTTGGATTCTGAATCGCCATCTTCCACTAGAGGACTCTGTGTTTTCTCGGGTTGCGACACATCTTGGTCGTACGGTAACCTCCCTGAGCATTGCACACGGATACGACGAGGAGGTCTCAAGAACAGCACCAGACAGTTTGCATCGTGTACGTCTTAGTCTAAAACGATTTAACTTGCTCTTAAGACATTTGAGGCAGCTTGAAACCCTTGAATGGAGAATGTTCCATCTTCCTGTGGGCAAGATGATGATGGGGATCCGAAACTTGCGTCGTTGTCCAAAGATGAAAAATCTTCGCATCGAAGGCGTCATAGGCGTCATTTCACAGGACGAGGCGCGTGAACTTGTTGCATGTATTCCACTTTTAGAGAAACTACGCATCAGATGGCGTCCAAGACCGGTTGGATATCGAAGAGGCAGGGCGGCGCCGGGAATGGGACCACTTCCACCAATATGGGGTGATGAGGTTCTTATGGAATACGAATCGTCACCCTCTCCGCCTCAGATACCACCGTCGCCTGATGTTCTCAACTACGCAATGCCCCTTCCACCTCATCCAGCACTTATGGATAGTGATTTCGAAGACGATGATTGGGGTGGTGAGTTGAGACGAGAACCTGAATGGGTCGCTGCAGAAGAGGTCGCGCGGATATTTGCAGATGCAAAACACCTCAGGGAATTATATGTTAACATCCTTATCTCAATGCCTGTGTCGATGGAAAAACATATTTCCTCTATGGACCTTCGTATAGCAGATGAAATCCTGCGACCTACTAGAAAAGATTCCTCTGGGCCTGGGGGACCGACCATAGCATATCAGCTGCGCAAGAGCTGGCTCGAAAAAATTCGGGAGACAGCTGTTGCATTTGCAAGGAACTCTCCAAGCTCAGTCAGAAAGATAGGACTGGGCTACTTCGTCGGTGTTCAAGGTCTCAACTCGGTCGTCACTTTGGATAGAAACCCTGATGGCAAAGTAGTTGGGTGGTCTGCAGACCTGAAGGGTGGGAGAAAGGTTGGCGAGATGTGGAGGGAAGGAGTTGATGCAGGCCTTGCAAGTAGTGGGGATTCATGGATGGATGGTGCATTTAAAGAGGTAGAGGAAAAGGATTGGTCGGAGACTAGGAACTGGACAAAGTCCAGGGTACCTACGAGACCTTTCAGGAGATAAAAAATTATCGATATAAGTAGGAATGAGGGGTTATCAGGTTTTCTACAAGATTACAAAAATAGACATCCGAGATAGAATAGCGCGGAAATCATCTGGGTGGAATTTCGCTTTCATGACTGTTTTTTTTTCTCTCTTAGGGAAACGGGTCACGATTGAATGACGCTGTATGGCTTTTCATGTCTTTTTTTTGAGTTTCTAGGTATGGCTTCTCATGTCTTTTTTTGAGTTTGAGGTTTTCCTTATCTTAACTTGTAAAGTAATGGTTACGTGTTCGGGTCTGTTCATTTAGTTTTCTACATCATGTCTATTGCGAGTTATCCATTAGTCTTTGAATTACCTGATGTTAGCTGCTGTGGAATTTCGGCCACTCTGAGTGAGCCGGTGGGGAAATAACTTTTACCTAAACAATTGTAGTTACATCTAGCTGAATAAGTAGGGCAGTAACTGTGTGATACTAAAATCTCACTTGTATGGGACTAAACGAATAGAGTTAGTACGTATCTGGCTCTCTGAAGCGATTGTATTCCTGCCAGGTTGTTTTGATATTTAATAATGCAAGTAGATAAAAGTTCGAGAGTAAGGACAGGTATAGAACTAATACGTTGACGGGTGGTTTTTTTTTTGGTATAGGATACCGTGGTTTAAAGGAAGGAACAATTGTACAAGCAGGCAAGAATATTAGACCCCACCCAACTTTGACTCCCGTTGCATTTGGTTGTTTTATATGGTTTTGGCTAAGCCTCAGTTTCTAAACTTGTTTAGTAATATTTGCCCCGGGGGTGTGTTCTCCGTAATGGGTCGCAGAGCATTCTACACTCTTACGCATTGGCATCACCCTTTGTCGCGCATTTTGATCTGGAATAATATTATCTGCTTTAGCATCAGGCAGCTAAAAATTCATGACCAAAATACGACACAATTCAGCGAATCATATCATATCACTCGATAGTGGACAGAGGACAGTATCTGTAATTACCTCGCCCGGTTTTACAGCCTATCGAATTACATGACGATTTTAAATTCCATCACCAGGCTACGAAATATTTTTGCTCCAGAGCTTCATACATGTAACTTGTGATTGGTCGAATCAGCGGGCTCTTGAGGATCAGCAACATTAGCCAAGGCCTTGAACGAAAGTTTGCCCACTCAAGGAGCGAATTCTAATACTACGCATCGATCATCGACAACTCAGTTCTTGGCTTTCCAAGGTATGTAACTCATGGGCTCAGTGATTGCATAAGGAGGATCCAGGAAGTATTACCACCTCAATTTCAGAATTCCAAAATTCCTAGGCGTTTATTACGAAGGATCGACAAAGTTGTCTACTCTATATATCGATTACTAGACATGCATATTCTCAAAACCACTGCCGGCGGAGAAAATATCCGATTATACGTGTGTACTCTATGTAGGTACATGTGTGCGTACTTTTTGTACTCAGAGCAGATCAGGTAAGTATGTATCCAGGTTTTGGAGAGTCCTAGCTAACCGAGGGAATTAACCGACCCAGATGGAAGGTCCCCTACCTACTACGCAGTTGTTATTATATTAGCCAAGATCACCTGTAGCATTTGCAGGCAAGTACTGGATGATCCATCTAGATATAGGCTGGGATCTTGATTAGAACCGACTCTATGCGTAGAGAAATTTAGTGCACCTAACGCTATGCGATTGGTTCATGATTTCCCCGGCCAACCCAGAATCGAGCTAGTTGCCGGTACGAAGATGACGATCTTTCACAGCGCAAACTAGAATCATAACTTCACGTATTAAGCACCAGGGAAGAAAGAGGGAGAGAAAAAAGTGCTCCCCTACATATCACTATCAGGCGCCATGTAGGTCAGATAATATAGGAGTGGTACCCCCTCATATCCTTGCTGTGAAACACAATATTACAGTACCGTACTCTACGTTCAAACCCCGCTAATTTCTCTGCCAAAGTAATTACATTTCAAAGCGCTGGAAATGACCCCTTAGTTGATGTATCGACGCCAAATTTCTAGATATATCATTACCGCAATTAATAATTCTTACACAGAACTGGGGTATACCTGCTACGGGTACGGTAACTACAGGTCACAATCAGTCACTCGAGTCTAGTATACATATTATCGATGCATGTGCACGTGCGTATTATATTCAAATGAACATCTTTCTTCGGCGTAGAAAGGAGCTATATATATGAACGTGTATATTTTAAACGATTGCATGGAAAAAAGCTCCTGATAGAGACTTGGGTAGGCAATCTCCCGGCCGACTCGCCGTTTATAGGATCTACAAAAGATACAACTTATTCTAGATTCCTGTTCTTATATTTGCATCTTAGATTCTACCTTTTTTGCCTAGTGCATTATGACCACTAATAATGACAGGTTGTCGGTGGGATGCGGTGTAAGGAGATTTTGACATGATTGAGAATAGACTAACGTACTGATCGATAGTAGAGCATTCTTTTATAAGTTAGCGAGCAATAGAGATTACCATGCTTGAAATAATTGGTACTACTGGCCTGTCAAAGTACAATTACTCTAGTGTGCATATGTACATAATACCGCATACACATGTAAGTGCTCTACTCTAGAGTACCTATGTACTTGAAAAGCATTTCTTTTGGTGGTGACTGCCGGCCTCCATAAGCTAGTACATGTACCCAAATTGGCTGAGTGGTATTACTAGCTTGAATCTACTGCCGTACGTTCCCGTAGCTACAGTCGTCTCTGGGTCAACGACGAAACCAGTTCGATGGCGAATAGGCCAATCGGAGCCAATAAAAGCCAACAAAAGCGCCCCGACCCCTTTGCTTTGACTGACTATCAGCCCAAAAAGTAGCCACTCGTCATCGAGCCGGGTTCGTCGTTGACCCAGAAACGACTGTAGTGCCAGAGGCACTTTCTGTAAATCTTCACATAAGGGCCTATATTACTATATAGTTATAATACATACATGTACCTCGTATAATTGTAGTGAATCATCTCATATCTATTCGCAAGATATAATACAGAACGTTTTCTCTTAGTTTTAGACAACAAGTTTGGAATTTCTACTGGCAAACAGATGTAACCCCATTACTGGACGTTCCGGTGTAAACTTGCAGGGTTGAGTAATCACGTTAGACTAACACCAAATCCTCTCGAGCTCTTAAGGTGTCTTTCCTCATCTGACTAGGTGTAGATCCTGAAGGAACTTGTTGTATTGATCAATGATATTCACAAGGATCTCTATGATCCGGACGCCGAAGACACCGGAGTTTCCCCGTTGCCGACTAAGCCGCAAAAAAGAGGGCGGATAAACAAATTTGAAATAATCCGGCTAATAGTTTTCACGGGTAGGCAAAAAGAGGGTTTGGATAGCTGTCTTTCTCGGATAATTTCTAAAATTCTACGACATAAAACTACATCATTGTTGTTGTGCGTTCAAGTTAGGGTGATGTGTATAGATGGACAGAAGAGTCGATTATTCCGATTACTATCGTTCCCTCTAGCTCTCCTCCCGAACCAAACACAAAACGTATAGATGTTCTCTAGAGCTAGGAGAAAACATAAGAATACAAAAAGGGTAAATACAAAAGTGGGCCGTACGCTAACTACACGTGTGATATATCTGACAGTACGTAAATATATTAATATTCACAATTGGTGAGGAGGCGCAGTGTATGGCCGCTGAAGTGTCAAATCCTTATTCAGAGCTGGTGTTGAAGACGGACGACGACGATTAGAACCGGTGCCATCCCCTGCGTTGTGCCTTTGTTCTCCGTCTCGAGTACCTTGATTATTAGAAATTAAACATCAGTAGTTTCTCCAATATACCTTGCATGCCCGTGATAAGCAACATACAGCTTTGACTCAAGTCATCTTCATCGTTTTTACTCCGAAATCTATTGAAATCTGTCGATAAGTGCCAAAACCGTAAGGTTCTGTTGTTCCACCTTGATTCTCCTGGATGCCGTGGTGATGATTGGCTTGCTGCTTCGCGCTCCAACATTGCCCATGCCATGTAACCTTGCTGTTTACAGTTAGCGTGACAACCTCTAAGTTCAATAAATTGGTATTTCACTTACACCTAAAGGTTCTGGAAGAGAGTTCGGATCATGCGCATAATACACCCCATTCACTAACTACTTATCTATCAGTACAGCTTCCTTTTAATATCCGATTAAGAGAAACACACTGTACGGGGGTGTTCCGGAAGAGATCTTGACTGTTCTGATACTGAGCTGTGTGCTGGATTTGTATTATTGGGGCTTTGGACGCTAACGTTTCTTGGTTGATATCTTATGTCATTATTTGGTTGGCATGAATCTCCGTCTGCGTGTGATGATAATATGTAGCTATTAGATGTATCGGTGGTAGTGGTTGTTGTTTGAGCACCGAACGACTCTGTCGCGGACTGTGAAGCAGGACCGCTTTCTGCAGCTGTAGTATCCGCAACAGGATCTCTACCTCCAGAAGGACTTTTTCGTTGGGGTCGTTTCTTCGACCGCCTTCCCCAGCCTATATATACTGCAACCATCAGCTCCTACTCTCTCTCTCACATGCCGGAACGACTTCTGAGATATAGCTTAATCAGGAATTAAACAAGCAGCGAGGGGAAACCGATGGCGGCCGCTCTTGCAAAGAAGTGAAGAAGATATTGCTACTACCGGTCATAGATTAACAGAAGCCTTCAGAGAAAGCATATGTACCCAAAAAGTTTGGATGATTTCGGACAGCACCAAGCAAACAAATGTCTACTGGAGATGTTGATGAAAAGATTTGTGTATTGGAGTTATGTGAAGAGAGGGCACGCAGGCCTTGCTTCCTAGTTTTAAAAGGTTGGGGCTATTGAACATAATTATGAAAGTCCCACCCACCTTCATCCGAGCGGGCAGGCTAGCTGCATGTCTTAGCAACAGGGATACCATCACTGCATGTTAAGATCAGAAACTCCGGTGATATGCAATGTGAGCAGCAACGGACCTCTTCTGTGGAGTAATAGAGAGGTTGGTGGGGTCTGACAGGAACGTTATTGAGAGGCGAACTAATGCAGCTGACTATTTCTGGTCGAAATTCAACAGTCCGGGCTGGGGGGCCGACTGGCCGGATCGACCAAGTAGGTATACGAACATTCACTTGCAGAGAGTAGATGTACCTACGGCATTTGAGATAAATGTTTCTTTTGGTTTTCGTGTAAGTCAGCTATTCATTCATACACTATTCGTGAGTTTACGCAAACCTACTGTACGGGTTCAGGGTCCATGTACGTAACTCAATGAACGTTGTTTTTGTTGCACATACATGTATCTTTAATCTAATTGCAACCCATACGTTTGTTCAGGAGACGGAAATCCAATTGAAAAATCAAACTGGTTTATGCAGTTGAATGGCCAATTGTATAGATTAACAACAAGGGCGTAAGAAGACATGCAAGAGTGCTTTTTGAGTGGGAATTGCAGTTCACGTTATTTGACTGGCGCGAGTTCCTGCAGCACAACCGAGTGCGCACTGCTGGAAAGATATTTTATTCACACCCTGTTACGTATGTGGGGAAGGTTGTGGACAGGTTGATGGTGCATGTTTTACATGTAGGTACTCTGGAATATTAATGTCAGCAGTTGTTCCGATTCAACATAAGGTAATGCCGTGTCCCAGGGCTCCCCAGGTAAAAGGAATGTGAGACTGACAGAGACGCAGCGGAACGTTTCTCGCTTAAACTAAGTTCCCGGACCGCTCAATGCTACTAGATGGCCGGGCGGATAAAGACACTCACTCCCCTTGTCTAGCTGACGGGGCGATTGTAGAAAAAGGTCAACTTGAGGGACGCTCAAGGACGCCACTTCCGCGAGAAGCCATTTTCTGGACAGCCTTGTAAAGTTGCAGACGGGCCGCATGCATTCGTAGAGGTTTGAAAGACGCCTTCGAGTGTACACATAGTTACCACTGGCTGGGTATTGTAGGCCATGTTGCGTTCTGAGGTCGGAACAAGCCAACTCAGAATATGCACAAGATGATAACGATGATGTATTGGATACAAGGTGGAACCTAGGTCTCTACAACGAGTAGCGTGTTCTCCAGCCACTTGTCCACAATAAATGTATGTGTCTTCTCCAGGTTTTGACCCGGTTTTCAGCTGTGTCTTCTGATACATGTAAGCCATACCAAACATACATGTACAGGTAGCCTGGTAGTACTACATGTACGTACCCAGACAAGCAGGTGTCTGTATCTACTTACATGTATAGTACAAACATAGGATACTTGTAGGCATAGCAAGTACATGTACTTCCATTCCTATCTGAAATGCATGCATGTACATACTTATGTACACCCATAGATTTGCAAGTGATTCAAACCACCGTCCTCAAATCAACTGTGCTTCCGAGACATAAGTACTGCGGTAAGTACTCAACCAAATACGATGATGTGGAGACTATAGCTACTTTGTATTTAACAGTTAATTATCCTAGTAAATTGCGTGAGAACCAGGATGTCGGAACTTGGATTTGTGGCACCCATTCTTCAGCGCTGGGAGATTTTCTCAGAGGACGCCCACAACTGGTGGATAAGAGCGGATTTGTGGGGTCTCCAGGAATCCCGAAAGAGCGTCACCAAAATAGATATACCTAGCCCTTCCTGCAAATCTTCCTGCAGAGATATCACACACGCAAATAAGATGCTGAGTCGCTTCACGCGGCAGTTGACCCCAGCTCGTGTCTCTACAAATGCATTATGTGGTTGATACTAGCCGCAACAACCCCCGCTTTACCCTAGGCCTACATGCCATGGGTACACTTCATGTCTAGAAAGCTTGAACAAGCGTTGTCGTGAGTTCCTGGGGGTTTATTGTAAGAGTGATCAAACAATTGCTGGGATTCAAGAGAAGCAGTTCTCCAAAGAGATTGATCAATTGAGCCTGAAGTATGCACGTGCTCGTGCTCGATCCAATGAGATTATTCAAACACCGAGATCCATATATTTTGTGATACACGACAATACAAGATCACTAAGTAAGATAAATCTACAAGACTATGATGATTACTAGCATCTACATACATTTGGTGATACATGATCTTCCTAGATACCTAGGGTTATCATAGGGTATAAATACACTAAAGACTGAACGAGTGATATTACATGAGTATAGGCCATAGACTGGCATGGGACTCTTCCTACCCTGGCCCAGGATAAGTATTGGGAGTATTAACGGATTTGTTCTTCCATTCGAGCTCATCCCATGAAAAATCTTTCTCTCCAAAGCTTTTACGATTGGGTAGAATTGAAGGGCACATTGCAAATAGGTATATACATCATGCATCGCGGGTGAAATCCTGTTCGTGGAAATCTCTTCCAAGCCAACACTGACCGTTTTACATTTTCTTTCAAACAAAAGCAAAAAAAATTAGCCACGTTTCTTCTCCCGGAAATTTTATCTCCTAGCTACCAAGATCCTAAATCACGCCTTAATAGCTTGATTCAAAACCTGATAAATCTATTAGTAGGATAATTACGACTGAGTGCTACACATGAAACGCCAGCTAGAATCACTGAAGATGATAAATAAAAGAATGGTTAGTTAATTGGATCTTAGCTATGGGGCCCACAAAAGATTTGTCCAATATTTTCTTTCCACATGTTTTGAGCTATGCGGCCTTCCAAATTCTCGTAGGCCCAAATACAATATCGTTCATAATTATATAATAGGCCTGTAGGCATGCATAGGTGACTACAGATCATAGCGTGTCTTCCCGAGCTTAGATGGCAGATAAGGCCGGCCTGAACTCCCCGGGTCCAGACGGATGTAACTTAGGCCTGTGAGCTAGGCTCCAATAAAACCATATGTTTTAGATAGATGTGCATATATAGCTGTTTTAAACTAAGCCCACAATGGCATCGTCGCCGTCAGGTATTTGGAATATTGGAAAAGAAATATTTCGTGCCTCGCAATGGGGACTATCACTACGTGGCAAGGCATGAGGTATTAGCACGAGATGAATCAAACAGAGTAGTTTCGACGTTAATGGCTGCACTTCTGAGAACTGCGGATTATCCTCACGATAAGTTTGGTCATAGATTAAGGAGTTGTCCCTTCATGCCATCAGGTCAACTTAGTGAGGGAAGCACAAGATCTTTTTCTGCTCACAATCGTCGTTGATATTTGTACAACGTTAGACAGCATGAGAAATTAAAACAAACAGTAGTTAAATCCTGTGAAGGGTTAAACTTCTAATGAGGTTTCAGTTATAAGGCGGCATGCACTATCGATCGCCGTTTGGTAAACCCATCAAATAGAAATGACGCATTTAACCGACTGATCGCCCGCATCAGTCTTCAGTCCCATGACTTTTTTCTTTTTTTTCCTTTTCAATCTCATGTTCCAGCATTACTATTCGTTCTCAATGTGTATGTACAATCGAGAAAGTAATCATTGGCACCATGAGTAAGATAAGAACATGTAATTGTAGACATCAAGGCCACGCTATTGGCTACCCGGTCAACCCGCAATTAGTTTAAACTGGGTGGGGGTAGCTCATGATCATTAAGAGACAATTTTCTTTTTGAAGATAGGCAATTTCGTGGCTAATCAAATCTCAATGAATACTACGGGGCTCAATACTACATGGTACTACCGGTTTATTACTCTAACGAAGAACTATCTTTACTCAAGAGGCCGCGTAAAAGCACATGTACCGAGTAGATGCTATATGTAGTTACATCAAAAGTTTTATACATGGTTGTCTAAACTCCACAGGATTTATTTATACTCTCTTAATGATTCACTGTTATAGCAAGTTAGCCAATGAATTGGCAACAAATCGGAGATTATAAGATACTGTATATCTGTTCCAAAAAATATTGTCATCATATGGTAAATGAATTTCTTGTCAGCTCACACATGCTCAGGGCATCCTGTGACAGTTTCGGCGCCCGTAATCACTGACTGTCACTCGATCATCATACATACACATGGAAACGTACCCTGTAAACCGTTTTAAGTACCTGAATATTAACACCAATGTCCAAGCTCCTTGTATTCGTTCAGTCATGAAAGCATGCTTATAGAGAATTATGCACATGCTATGGCCGTTACAACTTGTAACCTGCAAAACTGACCAGCCTTGTTACAATAAATAAATAAAGATGAACTCGAAAGAATCTGAAGAAAATCATCGAGAACGTCGAGAGAAACGCGCGCTCACCAGCATCATTATACAAGCTTTGAAATTCAAGCAAACAAAAGGTGGGGAAAATGAAATAAACCCTCTCCATATCCAGAAAAAATACTTTTGATATCCAGCAACCTGCCACCCAAATAATACGCCATCATTTTAACATCAAGGATTAAAAGAGAAATAAAAGAAAAAGATCCAGAAACTGAAGCATAATGCAGAAGAAACGTTTTAGCTAAACAACAGCGGGGATATACAATATAAGACCAAAAGCATGAGATAAGGAGATACATGTATCTAGCAATCAACTCACCCAGCATCGAGTCTTCACTAAGACATACATACATGGATTAAAATTGGTAGGAAATGAAAGAAAGAAATACCTTCAAGAGACATCTTTGAAAAAGCATAAGAGAGAGATTTTGGCATTCATGAAAGAAACTTCAAAATAATGTGAGAATAGGCTTTTAAAATCCAAACGGGTCTCCAACCGCCTCAAACCTT